ATTAGTATCATTGGGCCATGACGCTGTCGTTATTTTTGTTATTGAAACAGCACTAATAAGAGTCTAGTAACGTAGTAGGTTCTTATTTTATTTTAAAATGCATTACGTATTTTTGCACTTTGATACTCCAGCTTTCCTGAGTTTCGTAGCGAATTGGATATTATAAAAACATAACCTTAAGGTTTTATTTTTAATGCATTTCGAAAATAACATCATCATCATTATATCAGCCGTTAACCGTCCACTGCTAATCATGCCGGCCCCTTGGGGGGTTTGCCAGTAGTTGTTACGCTTGGCAGGCGGACTGGCAACCGCGGTTAGGCTTTGGTGATGTTTAAGGTGTATACACAAACATTTAAAAATACCAATTATACCTACTCAGTGAATATCTCATATAATCATCATCATCATATCAGCCGTTAACTGTCCACTGCTGAACATACGCCTCCCCTAATTGGACGGGGGGCGGGGGGAGGGGGTTCAGTAATTGCTACTTGCTGCTGTTAGATTTTGGTGGTGTTTTAAGAGGGATGCTACTGCCCATCTATCGACCAATAAATTCGCGCTAAAGTCGTTTCCTAAGACACCCACAGGGAAAGAAGTGGTGACCCATTCTACGGGATCACACGGCAATAAATTATAATAGCATTATCAATTTTAAATGTAACTTAATAACATTAATGTTAAAGTAGAATTACTTAAAGGGTATTATGGTCTGTATATAGTCTGTATATATCTGTATATATTATATATTCTGTGGTGTCAGCAGTATAGGTCGTATCTAACTAACATACTTACTAATATTATAAATGTGAAAGTTAGTTTGTTTGTTTTTTATATCTTAGCCGCTTAACCAATGACAACCATGAAATTTGGTGCACGAGTTCTATATAAAACGTAAAAAGACATAGGCTTCTTTTGGGAAAGGGTTTGTTAGTAGTGGGTTCCAACAATCCTATCGCTAGCAATATATCCTATCAGATCGACCTCCACGCGATTCTCCCTGGAAATCATCGTGGTTAATTCTTTTCGAATTCTTCACGACGGGCTGACTGACCTGCCTTCATTCTCATCTATCATCTATCACTGGTGTCCCGCCAGCGTATACTGATAACGTAGGCGGAGTTACCATTAAAAAAACTCTTTTACGTAATCGAAGTCACGGCTAAAGTCTAGTACAATATACACAAGTATTATACTTTTGTAATCTTTTGGAGGAAACAATAAAGAGTATCTATCTATTTATACTTTTTCACAAGAAGGGTTTGTATAAAATTTGGTGTTATTTATTTTAGATTAAATAAAAAAAAATATATATGAAACATAAGTTTGTGTAAAATAAAATATCCTTATAATAATAAGGCCGGTAACTTGTCAGAGGAGCTCGTATAGTAGCCAAATCAATTTAGCACCATGTAATGACAGCATGTGAGAACTGCGAAACTGGCGTAACTGTCAATGGTTATGTCTCTCTTTGTCAAAAAATATGTCATTAACACGGGGAAAAAAATATCAAAGTACAGCGAGGCACCCCTGAGAGTTGTTACATAATAGGGTTGTCAACACTCGAACACGATGGCTTTTCAAGTATAAATAATAGCGACTGTTTGTTACATTTGAATAGTGGCACTTTTGCGTTACTTTGTCGGCACGCTTGAATTGACTTCGGGATCGATTTATTGATTTTGTTCACGTCATATTTTTGTAAATTTTATCCCAGTATACCAGAGTATTTGTTGCAATTTTATAATTTTTTTTTTATTTTGACATGGGTAGTTTTTACCAGCAGTGTTCCAATTTCAAATATTTTTACTATATTTTTCCATTTCACTAGTTTTCATTCATATCTTAGCTACTGTGATGGCAGCGTCAAATATTGTTTGAAAAATAACATAAAATAATAATAAATCTCTGTACTATATCATTTACTAACATCTTTTATAATAATATTGTAGAATGCAAAAAAATAAATTAAATTGAATTGAATATTTAAGTATATATAAAAAGTTGCAAATAAAATATATTTATAGATAATACTTATATATAAATACCTTGTAAGATTGTGTTCCACAAAAAATTTACTTCATTTCTGGCAAACCCAAACATTTTGATTTGAAAACTAAACTACTAAAACGATTTTGTTAAAATTTCTATGGGTCCAATCTGTAAGTATATCTTTTCAGGAAAGAAAAAATATTTTTCCAAAAAGGTTTATAACTGACAAAGTTACGAGGTAATGAATATAAAAAAATACGACCGAATTGAGAAACTCCTTCTTTTTGAAGTCGGTTGAAAAAGTTAAACTAAAACACAAGTTTCCTTCTCAAAAAATTTAATGATTAATGAAACTAATAAGTTCTTTATATTATTTCAATTGTATACAAGTTTGTCGCCTCTTGAACCTTTAACGCTTATCCAATCACTGTCAAATTTGATACATACATAGGTACTATATGGGAAACGAGCATAGTGTATTTTTCATCCTGGTCAATAACCATATCCCGATCACGTAAACAAATTCGCGAGTAAATACTAGTTTTTTTTTTATACAATTTAGATTGGCAAACAAGCTGACGGCCCACCTGATGGAAAGTGGTAACCGTCGCCTATAGACATGAACAGTATCATAGACATAACAGAGTATACTGTTTCGCCCATGATACCCCCATGCGTTGCCATTCTTGAGAACTCAGGTGTTATTCCTCCGTACTCAGTAAATTCACGCCATATCCCACCCTTCAAACCGAAACACAGTCATGCAAACACAACTGCTTTACGGTTGAAACACGAATGGAACAGAGGTACTCAAGCAATTGACTTTTGTACAAAGTCTCCCACTGGTAATGTGTATACTATGTATAAAAAACTAAGATTTTTTTATAATTCGAGCTATTTATATATAGTAACATTTAAAGTATGTACATAGATAAATAAAGAGATACGTAAGCACCAAATTTGTATACCAGATTAAAAATAGCCGTATCTAAAGATCCCACGTCACTGTCGGCTATTGTGGAGAGATATCGGTTACCACAGAAATTATTCGCATGACAATACTACCAGAGATCTCTATTTAACGAAATTACGAATTTTCGACGTACGCCGCTTCGACAATGCGCCCTTGTACTCGGTCGGCGAGATCAAAGGTCGATACGATACGGTAACTAATAATGGCACCAAAAAAAAAAAGGAAAGAAAAATATAATAACAATTTTGAATAACATATTTGTTTATTACCTATTTAATTTCATTTCCAAATGTTTGACTCTAACATCGAAGTTTAATTTTACTGACTATAAAAAAAGTTATTTATTATAAATACAATTGTGATTGATAATTTATGAATAACGTTCTGGTGATGATAAATACCATTAACAAAGCTACCAATTTAGACCAAAAATGACAGCGATGGTAGATTCGTCTAATAATGACTATTCTGTCCCTTGAATAATTTAACAGGACTGATGGTCAGGTCAAAGAATTTGAAACGTTATATACGAGTAAACTTACTTGGGTACTTACATACAAAAAAAAATTAATAGGTATCTATTTACACTTACCTACATTGAAACAGGATTTGAACATTAAATGAGAAAATTTTGCTCAACAAAAACGAACTCGAATCCTAGCCAAATTAGTACAGGGCCAAGAAGGAAGTAAACTATTTTCAATAAAAAAATAATAATTAAAATCGCTCCAAATTGATAAAGATATCGCCTAACAAATATTACATGTTACAAAAAATATTACAAAAGTCAGTACAGTAGTTACAGTCGCATTGTAAACATGTCTTTTTTCCCGTTGGATCCCGAATTTTGTATTTTTGATTTAACCGGTAATTTTAATTTATAAATTAATTTTTAATTTATAAATTAACCAGTAATTTTAATAACTAGTGATGTCATTACGATTACCCTGGTGGAAAGTTTAAAAAAATAAAAGTTTACCTAATCCCAATAAATATTTGTGTATATATTGGTTACAAGTAGGTATAACTAATTGAATGAATAAAATAATATCTAAAATATAAAACAATAATAAAATAAAAAAATACGCACAATTGCAAATTTATTAAAAAAAAAGAGTGTATATTTATTACGATTTATTAAAACTAAAAAAAGAGATAATTGTCTTGTATATTATCATATTTTATTCAATAGGTATATTTTTTATTTTACTAAAACAGTTTTTCTATACGTTTTCGATTATTTATTAGTTACAATACAAATGAAACTTGTGATTACAAAAGCTATATCGAATAATAGGTTTGTACCCAAATAATATATTAAGTTACATTGCAAAAATGTTAACAATTGCACCACATATTTACTATTACAAATTACACCCAACAAAGGACAGCAATTATTACATTAGTGTTGTAAAAAGTGGGTCGATACAGCATACAAAATATCGTATTACAATTACGAGCTTTTATACCGGCCGGCAGGTAGAAGGACTATCTAACATATTTCTTAGTTTGTTAAAAAATTATAGATAATTATGTGTATTTAAAATTATATTTAAATGGGACTTATGCCAGTATCTAAATTTATTGTGTATGTAAAATATAATAATATTATATAAAATATATAGATAAAAATATATTATTAAATATTAAATATGTATTAGGTATGTGCTATAGTTTGATAAGATTTATATTATGCCGAATTCGTAGCTTCAATTTTAGGTTATAATAGACTTGTTATAGACGAATATCAACAATATCTATAATACCTATAAATTTAGTCATTTGCAGATTGGAAAAAAAATTGCATTTAGTTTAGCTTTGTGTGTTTTTACTACTAATTACTAACGAGTGACTTAAAGCTTTACTAAATCATCTCGTAGCATAGGCCTACAGGTAACCTACGAACGCACTGACTACGCACCCTAGCTACAAAGTGGTATAACCACAGTTTTATTGAAAATACATTATTTAATTTATATGATTATTGTTCCTAAATAATGCAGTAAGTAACATAAGACAAAGTACCACGTACCTAAATTGAATCGAACCGCCGGCATACGCTTATCAACGCAAATCACAAAAAGTCCGCAACACAAAATATCACTCAAACATACATCGAGATCAACACAGTCCGAGATCAACAGTCGCTGACGCGTGATGATTCAAAAACCAAAATACTTTAATTTGTCAAGTTTCTAAACGCGACCAAATGGTCAATGTAGCGCGTAATCATCGAATGCCCTAAGTATTGAGTGGAGCACGTTCGGAAGCTGCGAACCGTTCACGATGTCACGGCTCGCTTACGACTGGCCGAGCCATCTGATTCCAAGTCAGCCGTGTGAGCATCGCAGGAGGCGGGGCCTCGAGGGGCAGACTGTACTCACTGTGCCGACAGGCTCACCCTAGGGTGGGTGACGCACACCACTGCCAGCCACGCACACCAACAAGCACTGTCCGTATTGACGCCTCGACGCCTACATCGGAGTCTGCAATGTGACTCCGCGTCGCCAGTCGCGTGTGTACGCGTCTTCGCTATGACTTGCATTATTTTACAGTTTTTGAATGATGTCCCGAAATTATAGGGTTTATTTAGTTGGCTGGTGGATTTAGGAGGAGCAATGTGATTTAACTAGTGAAATGCATTCAGACAACAAAGTTTACATTTATATATTATTGAATTGTTAATAAACGTGATTATTTATTCACTAGTTTAATCATTGCATAAATAAGTAGATAATAGAATAATTATGTTATTTTTGTGTTACTGTGCGTAATAAATACTTATTAATAAATTAAAATGCTGCCTGCCAAAGTGATCTAAATTGAAAAAGAGCAAAATTGCTCTCCTGATTGAGAGCAGTATATTTGAGCTTAATAAGACATCTTTACGGCCTATTACAATGCAATAATAATATATTATATGTAGCTATTTTCACTGCTGAATCATTCAGATCATAAAGTGCGAATAAAACCATTTTATTGCCGTCCTGCTCGTACCCAATGTTTATGTTCACGACTTTAGGTATAGTAATGTTAGGTATAAAAGGTTGTCGGTTAAGCAGAAAAGGTTCTAAAACTTTACTATGCATTACGAGACGTCAAATTGAGACAATCGTTTTCGGCTCCCGCAATAACGTTTTACATATCTACCTAACCTCCAATTTTATTTTATTTTTATGCTAATACTAGAATACATATACACTTTAGCTGATTATCAATATAAAAATAACTATAATGATTTCTTTTTTATTAATAAATAGATATAAAAAAAAAACTTTTCTCTATATCTAAACTAAACTTTAGAAGATTATTATAATATATATTAATATATTATAATAATCTTCTAAAGTTTACACAAAGTAAAATAAGTACTTTTTCTAAACTAATCTTATTTTTATAAACTCAGTTAAATATATATATATAAATAAAAGTTAATATGTAAAAGAATGCGACATTTACTGACAAATCATGAGATATATAAAGATCACTTATTTAAAAATAAACATGTATTCCTCAAGCATTTATTAAAAAAGGGATTTTCGAAATTTCTATTCAAATAAAAGACAAAAGATGCTGCGCAGACAATTCAAGGAGTTTCTTCTAGTAAAATGACACGTTACAAATCTGGGTAAATCAGTGAACATTGTTAAATAACCAAAAATAAACATTTGAAGAGTAACAAACTAAGTCATGTCACGCAAAATTAATTGACGCAACAATCGCGACGCCCGCCCGCCGAAACGGGCTATGTCCTTAAATCAACAAAACGGTTTCACACGCCGTGGCTCAACAATGACGGCCACGCGGCGATCGTCACGCCGCTCAGCCGAAGAATGAGTTAGCCCTAATTTATACTGGCTAAATTTCACGGCTGTTCTTAGTTATTGTGTGATTTCGCGATACCATGTCACGGTATTCGATACGGCTGGTTATTCCGTTCAGATTGAGACGTCATCTTTTATCGCTCATGCGAACGAGACCTGGCTCAGGAATTGTCGGTTATTTGGCGTGTTTTGGATAAAAGATTACTGTGTGTTTATAAAAGCTTTCGTTACAATACATCGGTCGGGTGCTAATTTAAAATTTTTGAACTCAAATTAATTCAACCATTAAAATTGCTGAGCTCCCGACAATGGAGTTCGAGGCTGATTTACTAAAAAATAAATAATGGAACTTTTTCTTGTACAAAGAAAGTGTTTGTCTAAGAACAATGTGGAGTACCGCAGCGGGACATCTAGATACGCGGGGCTAAACCATTTTCTTTACATTTTTTTTTTTTATTTGTAGACTTTGCTCGGGTGAATAGCGTCGGATCCTTAATTTACGCATCGATAGATTTATTTTGTAATTTCGCATTTGTGAGGGTTTGTTCTTATAGAGCGTTTTGTAACATTTCGTATGAATAGTGATATCATTAGGCAAGCAAGAACATCAGAATATTTGGACAGCTAGAAAATAGAGGATTTTATTTTTCTTTGAAATATTATCAATTTACATGATATTCCCTGTAAGATCTAAATGCTGCAGACTTATATAATTAAATAAATCTTTTACTTTTTTTATCTCATCTCATACATACACGCCCGTTCCGGTTATAAATTTTGACACATAATAAAACAAATATACAAAACGTTTATCATATCTTGGCATTTGAAATATGACTTTTGTATTAAGTAATTGATATATGCAACCAAATTACCCATTTAGTAATAGTTAGCAATATTGCTATATAAAAAAAAATCATAAATCAGCCCTGAATGCCCTTCGATAGGGCACAGAGCCGCGTTAAGGCGCGTCCCTCGCAGCTGCCACACCTTACACGCATCAGTGGCGGCTCACAACATCCGCGGCTTTAAGTAACGAATGCTTTGTGCATACCGATAGATTAGATGCATGGTTTATATACGTAAATGTAGCGATTCATTTGCAAATCATACATTTTTTAAATAAATTAAAACGCGTTTCACCACTATCTTATCTGATCATTACTGAAATGAAGAGGTCTAAAGATATTGTATGCAAATACAAATAATTCCTATTTACTCTAGCTTTGAAAGATCCCATGTTAAAGTGACTTGAAAACATTATATATACATACAATAATTATGACACCTAATAGGAGAAATAGAAGATTTTTTTCATTTACAATTTTTTTTTATAATTTTTTAAAGATCCAGCACTACGCAAGAACTACTGCACCAAACTGAATGCGATTTTTACAGTTATATTATAGAATATGACATCACGAAGTAGTCTATTTCATTGGTTTTCCGACTTCCAATGAGTATACAAAGATTCATTCTCTCATCATTCGTTAGAATTCAACTTGTGCTTTTACATATTTTTATTTTATCATAATACGAGTATACGAGTAGTTGATAGATACAATGTAGGGTTGTTATTTATACCTATAACTAGATTATGCTTAACATAAATATGTATATAATATATATATTTAAATATTTAATTATCAAATTAAACTCAAAATTAATACCATTAAATTAGGTATTACTGTTTCCAAATTTCAGATTAGTGTAGAATGAATGACTCCGATGTTATAAAATTAGTATAAATGCTTTTATAATTTTAAAATTTTAATATTATTCTAAACATTCTGATATCTGTAAAATAAAAGAAAATGAACAAAATTCCACTCTTTTGCACATTCTATAAGCAATATTAAGGAATTATATTTAAATTTAGCAAATATTTTCCAATTAATAATCGCAAATATGACTCGCCTATTCACGTAAGAGAGCACCGCAAGTATCTTGTAAATTGCACCACAGTTTTGCATTAAAAAAAGGACGTTTCTTTTCACCGATAGGTTACAGATTAGACCGGCATGCAGCCAATTTGAAGCGCGGTGTCTTCCGCAAGCCGCGTTTGTTTTTTGCGTGGTTTTAACTTACATCACTTTTGCGTTAGGGTAAAAAAGGGTTATCTGCTTCATTGATGAAATGGATGCAATACAAAAATAAATAGGAATGGTTAATTTAAAATAAGTAAATCCAACTCTTCTAAGCAAGTAGATAAACTATTTATTTTTATCCTGTCATATAAAGTAATTCAGTTTTTAACTGACTTTTTTGAAGTCGGTTGAAAACTGAACTGAATAGAAGAAAATTCTCGATTCGGTTGTATTTTTGTTTTGTATTTTTTATTGTATTTTTCACCAGAGGGAGACTTTGTACAAAAGTCGATTGCTTGGGTACCTCTGTCCCATTCGTGTTTCTACCGTGAAGCAGTTGTGTTTATATGGCTGTGTTTCGGTTTGAAGGATGGGATATGGCGTGAATTTACAGGGTACAGAGGAATAACACCTGAGTCCTCAGGAATGGCAACGAATGGACGAAACAGTATACTCTGTTATGTCCATAGTACTGCTCATGTCTATAGGCGACGGTTACTACTTTCCATCAGGTGAACCGTCAGCTTGTTTGCCATTCTGAGTTGTATAAAAAAAGTATTTTTTTAATGTTTATTACCTCATAACTCCTTCAGTACTAAACCGATTTTTTAACCTTTTTTTATAGGAAAGGTATAGTTACAGTTTGGTTCCATAGACATTTCATCAAATTCGTTTCAGTAGTTTAATTTTTAAATAAATTTTTTTTAGGACACAATTTTTTTTTTAATAGGAATATCTATTTTAGATTAATAACATAAAAAGCAGAGAGAAACTTTGTATAAAAGTCATTTGCTTGGGTACCTCTATTCCATTCGTGTTTCAACCATAAAGCAGAGGGCCTACCATGAAATATTTTCCGAAATTCCGGTGACGAACGAAACAGAAATTTGATGTTAAAATTACATAATAAATGCCGTTTAAAATTATTAAAAATGGTAAAATATCGCTTTTCTAGACTATTAAGATAGGATTTATGATGAACGAAATGTTAAGCTCCATTTACTGGGTCGATTTCGGTGGGAATAAAAACACGAAATTGAGCCCGAAATTTCGGAATTTCATTTCATGGTAGACCACCAGTTGTGTTTGCATGGCTGTGTTTCGCAGTTGCTTAACTGCATGCATTATTTGTGACCTCTACATATATTGACTATCTTCCTCTACTCACCCTTTAACAACTCATTAGCCATCCATTGTTAAGTATGGGAGGAATATATACAGCCTAGTAGGTAATAATAACGCGATGACCAGGGGAGAAAGGGGTTGTTAGTAAAGGGACCTAACAGCCCTAGTAGCATGTCCTATAGACGAAAAAGAAATTCCTAGTAATGGGATCTAACAACCCTATTAATGAAATTTGGTACACGGGTAGGTTCTATGTTAACACATAGAAT